TGTGCAATTTGGGCACAGAGTTGAACAGAACTGAGGACTATCCTTTCCTCTCCACTTTTTTTACATTTCAGTGCTAGAGATGTGGAAAAGGGAAGAGACGACATGTAATTAATGTAATATATAAAGAAAAAAGGAAGTCTATGATGTAAAAAATGTCATGTGACTTCATTAAAATTCCTTTAGTACACAGCAGGGAGATTTATAGGATTGGTAGATGGAAGAGTATAAAAGAAAGATAGATTAGCTTTAGCTTTGCTGGTGTCTACTTATGCTATAAATCACATGACTAGAGGCTTTCTCTAAATTACATCTACCTCTTGGTCTTCCTCTTCTGTCCCATATACAGTGGGTCATCTGAAAAAGGAGAAAATTCATCCTGATCTCCCTATATCCATATCTCTGTCTGGATATAAATTATACATTCATTGTGTGAATTCTTTCTCTGTATGTCAATTACCATTTCTTCCATTAAAGGTTGGTCTAGAGCAGAGCTGGTCTGGAAGTACACAATGACACCCTTTTCCATCCAAAATTTTAAGTCAAGCAACTGTGGGATTTTTCAAGTAATGTTTCCGTTTCTGTAACCATTCACAAGAATGGGTGGAAGAACATCTGATGAAACATGTCTTAGAAGATTAGCTGTTGAGCTACAGGGGCCCTTAGAGTTTTCTTAGCTCCAGGTCTTGGTCCCCAGTCTTTCTGACATGGAGCCCACACTCAGAGGCCACATCAATAATACTTAATTATAGGTACTTGGAACGGTTCTCTTTCTCTGGTCTTACCCTGCAAAGCAGAGTGGTCACAACTAAAATGCCAATTTGCAATGATCCCTAGCTCATGTAAATTCTCTACCTATGTCTAGAAATTGCATGGGAGAGTACTTGTTAACTGGGGCTAAAAGTCAAACCAGGAACGATTCTAACAATCTGACACAAGAGATAACTGAGTACTGGTGTCTGGGAAGGGCACTATTTAATTTTATACTATAGATGTAGCCTGAGACACAGGTCCTGGATTTGCAGCAGAAAGCCTCGAAGTCCTTTCATGGGTTGAGCTAGTGCCTGTTGAAGCTTCTAGTTTATGGCATTTGTTTTTGTGAACCAAAATGGTTGATTTGTTTTGTTTGAGTTTGTTTTTTTTCAATGAAATTTTTTAAAGAATACAAAGGGCAGGTATACTGAGAAATACTGAAACACTTCTAGGGTATGAATACTCTTTAGGTATCATTGCTTACACTTAAAAAGCTTGTTTAAAGGCAACTGTTGTCTTCAGGACCATATTCCCAGATTGCTTTGATGGTGAACCTATGAGCTACCTGATACTGCCTCTCCAAAAATGGGAGGTTCATGCACCAGAGTCTCCTTGGTCATTACTATACTGCCTAGAAGAGGTAGGCAGGCAGTGGTAGGAAACGGTGATAGGAGAAAGGTAGATCACGCTGTGCTGAGATGCTCTTTCAGACAAATTTATGTAGCCGCTGAATACAGTCACTGCTCTCTCTAAATGGTTTGCATATTCTAAGTCTTTTTTCTTCTCATTAATTACTATGTATTTTTCAGTATAATTAGAAAAAAAAAATACCGTGTTCAAAATTAGATATATTCTACTGATGACACACAGCCTTGAACGAAATCTAGATCTCATACCTTAATTAGACTCTGCTGTGCTAACAGGAATAGATAGAACTGAAGATGCATTTCTTTTAATAAAGAAAATAATCTCATTTGATTCCAAAAGCACAGAGAGAGCCGGTTGCTACATTACAATGTGCTGTTGTCTGCACACTCATTTTCCTATTCATAGTGATTCCTTGATATTTTGAATTTCAGTGTTGAATTTATCTTAATATTGATGTCTAACTGAACATTCATAGTATATGATCAGAGAAAATGAGTGGGAAAGTGAGAGTCCCTGGGCTGCTCCATTCCCACATAGAAGCAATATGAATGTCTGTGTCCTTTGTCAAGTTGTCTGGTTCATATTCATGTACAAGCGCAGTAGCTAATTTTACAGAATAAGGAGTGATACCTCTTTGCATTCCTTGGAGTGGAATCATTAGCGCAGACAAATCTCTGTGCTGCAGCCAACAAATTTATTTGACACACAGTTTATGACCTAGTAGATGTAAATGTTTGCTGTGAAACTAATGATGGATGAAGCAAGAGAACAAGCTATCTCACACGATTTCCAGTTGGGCTAGAAATAATCTATCCTGTAAAATGTTGAAAAGTTCACTTCTAATCTTAGTTAGAAAATTGAGGTTGGAGTAGATAGTGCTGAAAAATAATGGGGTAAAAATCAGTTCTAACTTTTTAAACCATTTTTAAACCATTTCCTACATCACTTACTACAAGGTGCTTAGGGAGTTGCAGAGCTATTCAATCACTTTCATATTAACAGAAAAGCCCCATGTGCACAGCTTTTGTATGAAGTATTTCCTGTGTTAAAGAAAAATTCTGGCTATTACTGTCTGTATAACATAGTTCACTGTTTTCTGCTAGTACATTTAGAGATTTATTTAAGTGTGAGGAACTCTTAACTGCTTCTGAACAGCTTTACAGCTGTGTTTTCTTACAGTGTTACCTTTCTGACAGTATTTGATTAAAATAAAGGGAACACATAACAAACAGCCCGTAGTCTTCTACACTACTCATTTTTGTTAAAAGTGGGTGTTGTAGAGCTGCAAATGTAGATCTACAAGATTAATCATCAAGGTAGTATTGATCTGTCCTGGAAGGATGTGAAAAAGTTTTTAAAATCCTTTAATGTTCATATGCCTAAGAATAGTGACCTGGGCTGTAGCTCTGAAAGAGAAGCAGATGAAAGACATGAAAAATATGTGAAGATTAATCCCGCAACCTCAGGTATTTCCCAAGAACAGATTATAATTCTACTTTTTTTCCTAAATTCTGACCTAGTTGTAGTAAGAGATGGTGAAAGTCAATACAGTCAATGACCTTAAAGCTGACATATTAAAATAGTGTGGAAAGATCTAATTATTGTAAAGGTCACAGGATAAAAATTTCGTCCTAATTCCAGGAGCCAATGGAAATGCAGCACAGCTATCAAAATTCCTCAGTGGCTTGAGGTTTACTTTGTTGCGTCAACATTAGTAGAATTCATATTTCTTTAAATAAGGGAATTGTAGCTGAATTTTTAACAACCATGTAAGAGGAAGATTAATATATATATTATAAAGCATTTACTTAAGATTAAGGGCAGGAGAGCATTTCAAGGAGGTATGAAAACTGTCTCCAATATTCATCCAACTTCAGAGAGATAAGTAAAACAAGAAATTTAATATTTTATGGACAACGATGATTTAAGAGTAATACAGCTCCAACAAAAGGAACTACAATCAGATTTAATTCCAAAATGCTTTATACTGAGAAAATTTTACAAAAAGTATATTTTATATGAAATTGGTCTAGAAAAAAATTTTTATTTCAGGACCTTTTATAATTTTAAATAAATGTTGGTTTATCTCAAAATATCAAATTTAAATGGAAAATACATTTAAAATTCTTTTAAATCTTTGAAGCATGAAATTTCCAATGGAAAAATCTTTTCTGTCAAAAAATCTGAGGGACACATATTTTCAATGTTTCTGATGGTTAAAAAAAGTCAGATGGATTATTTTTTCCACTTTGTGTGAAATAAAAGTATCCAGTCAGTAAGTCTCAGGCTTTTACTGCAGCTTTTGAGGTCAAGGATTGCTTAAATAAAAATGTCTGGGCTTTTAGTATCACTGTGCTGGGCAGAGATGCTTCCTCGTTCTACACCTCAGCTTTC